TAAATAATAACAGCTCGTCCGTCTACGACCAATACATGCACAGAGGATAATATTTCCCCAGCGAAATAGTACAGTTATTTCGAGTCATCCGAAATAAGGGATACTTTTTTTCTTATTCTAATAAGTTCTTTCCGCCAGTTCATAGTACGTGTCTTTGTGTGTGTTCGCTTGCTCTTGTATACATCTTCATTTTAAATTAAATAAGTGACCTAATGAAGTCAGCATGATGATGTGAAGGAATTATCCAAGCATCCAAGCAAAGGAATGAATGGAGGACCATCATGATCACCGATGTCTGTCGCAGATCTGGCTCTTGATGGTGATGTTGAGAAGGGACACGTCTTTGGTGATGTGAGATGTTGACAATGGGTTTAGAGGAGAATGGCACACGGATGAATAAAGACAGGACCATTCGTTCATTCATCCATTCATTCTTTCATTCATTCATTCATTCATTCATTCATTCATTCATTCATTCATTCATTTATCTATTCATCCGCCCACCACTTTCACCCTGGTTATACCATTCATTGTTGCAAAAGCCTTCAGAAAGGGCTCTCTTCCAGTCTCTGCTCTGGGTGATTTTCTCTGTCTGTTGTGTGTAAGCTGTGCTTGCAAGCTAGATGAATTGAATTTCAAATGAACAGGTTTCAGTAGAATATAAGTTATCTGAAGACACGTTGAGCTGGCTTTCAGAGTTTACAAGATGTTGTGAACGTTTTGGGCAGAGTCTATTTTATCGTATTAATTTTATGTTATTGTAGAGACATTATTAATGAACAAACAGACATATTAAAGACCAGACAATTGTTATCAAGCAGTGCCTAAGATTTATTTATGTGCATGTATTTTTAAAGTAATTATACATGTATGCATGTGTATGTAATAATTGTGTGCGCGTGGGTTTATATGTTATGTGCTTGAGTGTTTGCATATGTATGTGAGCGTGATTATATTATTATCATGTGTGTGCACACCTGTGTGTGCGTGTGTGTATGAATGCGTGTGTGTATGAATGCGTGTGTGTATGAATGCGTGTGTGTATGAATGCGTGTGTGTATGAATGCGTGTGTGTATGAATGCGTGTGTGTATGAATGCGTGTGTGTATGAATGCGTGTTTGTTTGTATATGCATGTGTGCGTATTTCGTTGTTGCCTTTCTGCAACTTATCTATACTTCTATTTTTTTTAAAACCCACATTAAAAAACTGGAAAACAAAAACAGAAGGACGCCAATATGGCATTACTTTAGAAATAGAACATCCATTGTCCTTATAGTATCTCCTCCCTGTTTTCTTTATTATGTTACTGTCTGTCTATTAACCCCTCCAATTTTCAACATTTATCTGACCTAGTTGTGGGTGGTTGGCGTGTGCTCTGGCGTGGTTTGCTCCTTCTTTCCTATCAAACATCTGTCGTCCTTGTCTCACCTCCTTCTTTTTTGTGTTTGTTACTCTCTTGTAACACCTCTAATCTTCGGCACTTATATGACCTTATTGTGTTGCAAGTGCTGTAAAACTCTTACTAAAACTAAACAAACTGACCTAGTTGTGTTGCTTGTTGTTTGGTTTTATCCTTCACTTGTACCATTTTGGGTGTCACGAGAAGAAAGAGACGTCTATCTGCCACCAAGCTACAGAGCTTTGGTCAGGCCGATGCCATGAGTTGTTAGTTAGTGTTTGCCTGACTCCATCTATCCAGGTCTTTCTCGTTCGCCCCCCCCTCCCCCCTAGCCTTGTTGCCATTGGATTTTTAAAAAATTTATAGGGACGTCGTGCTGGATGGTGTGTTGGTAATCGCTTGAGATGTCCGAACCATTTGATTCTTTGGTGTTGGATGTGATGCGTGACATCATGTGTATTGCAAGTGCCGTAAGTGCCTCACAAAGACAGTATTTGTGAGCTGTGATGAAACCATCTGTGGGGATGAAACCACTGTCAACTTCAGCAACAACAACTACGGTTGTGACTACCTCTGCCGCAACATCAACATCATCAGGAGATGCAAAAACCAAACGAAACAAAACAAAAGAAAAAACCCATAGCAAAAACAACAGCAACAACAAAAACCAGGACAACAATAAAATGGAAAGAGTAAAAGTAAAGTGTAAAGAGGGATGAAGTTTTCCACGCGCAGACTCAAGACTTGACAGCAGGGTCGTCCAATAAAAGAAGCCATGTTGATGTCTTGTGGTATCACACGATAACTGTATAGGTCTGCAATCAATCATATGACTTGACGTGAATAGTGTATGAATAAAGAACAAAGAGGGATAAAGGGAGAGAAAGAGAAAGAGAGAGAGAGAGAGAGAGAGAGAGAGAGAGAGAGAGAGACAGAGAGAGAGAGAGAGACAGAGAGACAGAGAGACAGAGAGACAGAGAGACAGAGAGGGGGAGGAAGGGGGGAAAGGGTAGGGGAGAAAGAGGGATAGAGAAGGGGTAGGGAGAAGGAGAGATAGAAAAAGAGGGGGGGGGGTCGGGATAAAGAGGGTCTTGAACACAGAAAAACAAACAGATGAAGGAAAATGTAAGTTATTGAAAGTATTAAGTAGGGGGTAATAGTTTTAATACACATGATAGGGAGCACAATCAATTATACAGGTCTTTTATAGTTTTTAAACCTTTCAGTCTATTGGTTGTCTCAATAGAGACCCTTTCTGAAGGTAATATGTCCGTCTTTCTCTCTTTCTCTCTCTCTCTCTCTCTCTCTCTCTCTCTCTCTCTCTCTTTCTCTCTCTCTCTCTTTCTCTCTCTATCTCTCTCT